GTTTATGAAATAAAATATTTGCACTTTAGATTATATAACATATATGTTGTAATATATTTCAATATATACTTGATATCCATATGTAACATAATTATATTGTAGCAGCCAAAAATTGGACACAGTCTAACTCGCCAGTTTGGCCATCATTTAATACAAAATAGGATATTAAAGTTTGATTGAGAGACAGCCGACGCCCAGACAGAAAAAAAGGGTCTCCGATTACACAGTCGAAGCGACATACATAGTCGGATATCAAACAGTTCCTCTCTGGCTCTCATGTAGATCAGACTCTCCTGGACCTACGCTGGCTTCTCTCTCGTATCAATTATTATAAATAAATATATATATATCTTTATTCCTATATTTATCAATTATATAATCTTATTTATTCATATTTATATTTATTCTGTATTACTTCATATATTCTAATATGGACATTGTAATAAAGTAGTTTCAATCTCAAATCTCTCTCTTTATGAAGTAACTTCCAACATGTCTCATCCTTTTCGTGCTATCCATTGACGCCTGAAACCACTTGGCCCATTCTGGCCCCCACGACTGCATCTAACCTGCCTACGACCACACCCAGGAGACAGGAAAACATATCTAATATATATATATATATATATATATATATAGCAAATATACACCATTAAATTTATTACATTTCTAAATATATGAAATTCTGTTTTTACATATAGAAATAGTATTTAGTGGTAAATGAAAGGTTGTATAATTATGAAGATATATTTCATACAATGCGTTTCTTAATTTATCAAATATTTAGAGAGCCACTTTGCATATAGGTTTATTGGAAAAGGTTTTATATTGTATATATCATATATGTTTTCTAATATAGGAAATAATGAAAATTCGCGCGCGCGACAAAAAATAAGAAACACGACAAACATAGAAATGTATTATATCAAAGAGCTAAGGAACCAAGAACTATGAGTAATTGTGTGGAAGATTGAATAAATTGAAATAAATAAATTAGTGCATAATATGATATAAATTTGATTATCTCTATTTGGCGTTGACCTAATCCCTATATAAAAGTCAGTGTATGTATGTTTGTCGGCTATACACATTCACAATACGTCACTAATCTGACTGAAATTTTAACAGTATACAAGGTGTGTCCAATAAATAATGAGACTGGTCAAAAATAAAGAAAAATAGATTGATTAAAAAAAATTATTAGTATTTTCCAAATAGTCCCCTCCCGCATCTATACATATTTCCATCTCTTCTCCCATGATTTAAAACATTTAGAAAAGGCATCTTTCGGGATGTTCTTCAATACCTTTTTCGAATCCGCTGTGATGGACTCTCTAGTGGCAAATCTCCTTCCTTTAGAGCCATTTTGAGTTTTGGAAAGAGAAAATAATCATTTGGAGCTAGGTCTGGGGAACAGGGAGGTTGTGTTGAAGTATTTGGATGCCGTGTTTAGCCAAATAAGTCAGTACAGATGTAACGGTGTGTGGTGGTGCATTATCATGATGGATAATCCAATTTTTGGAACTCCACATTTCACTTCTTTTCAGACAAATTGATTCACGTACACGTCTCATAATGTTTAAATAAGACTCCTTATTGTTTGTTTGACCTTCCTCTAGATATCCATAATGCACAATTCCCTTTATGTCAAAGAACGTGACCAATGAGACTTTGTTTTTTGACTTGCAAAGTCGGGATTTCTTCGTTCTTGGTTCATCTTTTCCTTTCCACTCCATGGATTGGCGTTTTGTTTCTGGGTCATACCCGTAAACCCATGTCTCGTCTCCAGTTATTACTTTTTCCTTCCAATTAGGGTTTTCTTCCACCATTTCAAGCATTTTTTGGCAACTTCAACGCGATTTTCCTTTTGTTGGATTGTGAGCATTTTAGGGGCAAATTTTGAAGGTGTCTTCTTTAACTGCAAGTCTTCTTTAATTATTGATCCAACTACTGATTTTGATATCCCTGTTTCTTCCTCAATGTCCTGTAACCCTATTCGTGGATTTTCTTTTATCAAATTTGAAATTTGGCTCACCTTTTCAGGGTTCCTGTGGACGTCCAACACGCTTCTCATCTTTCACTGATTCCATTCCATTTTTAAATCGTGAAAACCATCTAAATGTGGTGGGCTTATTTACATTTTCATTTCCAAATGCCAACAAATCTAAAGTTTCTAAAGCCGATTTCCCAATTTTGTAGCAAAATTTAATACAAATTCGTTGTTCGAATTTTCTATCCATTACAAATTAGAAGTTGTTATGCAAGGTGTTCTTTTTACAAGCTTACAATTTATCGACTGCGCGCGCAATCACGTGATGTGATACACCGCAGTGTAGCTGAAGCTTTCTATTTTTTAATAGACTTTTCAAAACAATTATAATTTCATTTTTTCTTTGTTTTTGACCGGTCTCATTATTTATTGGACACACCATGTATACAGTAGAATCTGAAAAAACGTATAGTTAAAATTACAAGTGTCTATCCCGAATATTCGTCGAGTTATTTTCAAATTTGCGTTGCAAATTTGCCCTTTCGCTCGCGAGCAGCGCCTCTAGCGGTGAAGATGGGATTAATATCAGCTGACCTAATGTACATGTAAAGTTTGGAGCGGGACGTTTCACAAGAGTGACATCCACAGCGCCAATTTATAATTGTAACGAATAGTATTTGAAAATCAAAATAACAGAATTTTTAAATATCGTTGTGGAATTTTATATTTCTACTAGACGAATGGCCCGGGCAACGCCCGGGTTTTACCCGAGTGCATATATATTTTAAAAACGTTTTAATTCAAATACTATTCGTTACAATTATAAATTGGCGCCATGGATGTCACTCTGGTGAAACGTCATGTTCCAAACTGTGTGTTTTTAAAATGTTTTAATTAAAATACTATTTGTTACAATTATAAATTGGCGCCGTGGATGTCTCTCTTGTGAAACGTCCCGTCCCAAACTGTGTGTGTCTTGAAAATATAAAATTCGAATAAATATAAATGAGATACTGAAAATTAAATACCTATTTAATGAATATCATATTTTATTCTTATAAAGGTACTTATATATAATACTAGACCAATGGCCCGGGCAACGCCCGGGTTTTACCCGAGTACGGATATGTTTTTAAAACGTTGTTTTGGGTGGTCGCTATAGACAGGGTGGTCTGTATGGACAGGTGAATGTAACACACAGCTGATAACAGGGTTGTCTAGAGTGGCCGCTATAGACAGGGTGGTCTGTATAGACAGGTGGATGTATCACACAGCTGATAACAGGGTTGTCTAGAGTGGCCGCTATAGACAGGTGTATGTATCACACAGCTGATAACAGGGTTATCTGGGGTGGCCGCTATATACAGGGTGGTCTGTATAGACAGGTGGATGTATCACACAGCTGATAACAGGGTTGTCTAGAGTGGCCGCTATAGACAGGGTGGTCTGTATAGACAGGTGGATGTATCACACAGCTGATAGCAGGGTTGTCTAGAGTGGCCGCTATAGACAGGTGAATGTAACACACAGCTGATAACAGGGTTGCCTAAAGTGACCGCTATAGACGGGGTGGTCTGTATAGACAGGTGGATGTATCACACAGCTGATAACAGAGTTGTCTAGAGTGGCCGCTATAGACAGGTGTATGTATCACACAGCTGATAACAGGGTTATCTGGAATGACCGCTATATACAGGGTGGTCTGTATAGACAGGTGGATGTATCACACAGCTGATAGCAGGGTTGTCTAGAGTGGTCGCTATAGGCAGGGTGGTCAGTGGTCGCTATAGACAGGGTGGTCTGTATAGACAGATGGATGTATCACACTGCTGATAACAGGGTTGTCTGGAATGGCCGCTTTAGACAGGTGTATGTATCACACAGATGATAACAGGGTTGTCTAGAGGGGGGCAGGGAGGACACGTGTTCGCCGGCATCCAATGGGCGCGCATTCTATCCGTGAGCTTCAGAATAAGGCAATTATATAAGTAGATAATTTATATGAAATATATGAAAATATAAAATATATAGAGAGGGTTCACTACTGATGAGCCAAGCCCTCTCATTCATTAAATCATATCATTGCAGTAAGGTCTGTAGAGATTTAAAAGAAACGCATTGCCAGAAAATTTATTTGTGTAAAATTTTAACGATAGAGGGCAATAAAATTTAATTTACTAATATATAATGGTTATGAAAAACATGTTTTGCGCGGAAGAGCTTTGCTCGATGCAATACCTTGAAATTTATATGTATGTACCTCTACAGAACTATAAGCTTATGTCCATAGTTCACTAAACACCATTTAGCTGCCTTCCATAGAAAATGCAGGGTATATAACAAAACCAGTCCAATACAATAGTAGAGCGGTCTAGAGATTAATTTGGCGAAACCGCTGAGAGGGTTCACTACTGATGAGCCAAGCCCTCTCATTCATTAAATCATATCATTGCAGTAAGGTCTGTAGAGATTTAAAAGAAACGCATTGCCAGAAAATTTATTTGTGTAAAATTTTAACGATAGAGGGCAATAAAATTTAATTTACTAATATATAATGGTTATGAAAAACATTTTTGCGCGGAAGAGCTTTGCTCGATGCAATACCTTGAAATTTATATGTATGTACCTCTACAGACCTATAAGCTTATGTCCATAGTTCACTAAACACCATTTAGCTGCCTTCCATAGAAAATGCAGGGTATATAACAAAACCAGTCCAATACAATAGTAGAGCGGTCTAGAGATTAATTTGGCGAAACCGCTGAAAGGGTTCACTACTGATGAGCCAAGCCCTCTCATTCATTAAATCATATCATTGCAGTAAGGTCTGTAGAGATTTAAAAGAAACGCATTGCCAGAAAATTTATTTGTGTAAAATTTTAACGATGGAGGGCAATAAAATTTAATTTACTAATATAAAATATATAATATATAATATATAAAGGTTACCGATTTAAAAGTCTATTTTATCATTTTAGATTGTATAAAAAACATATTTTAATTTAAGTATTGTATGTGTGGCCTAGTGGTCATGGCATCTGCATGGTAAGCGGAAGGTCGTGGGTTCGATTCCCATCCCTTGACACTTTTTTTTATTTTATCCATTCTGACCAAAATCTATCCGTGAACTTCACACAGAGAACTTCACACAGACAGAATAAGGCAATTATATAAGTAGATACTAATAATTATTATTATTATCATTAGATAATGATAATGATCATTATGATGATGCGCGCGTTGATGACCAAAATCTATCCGTGAACTTCAGACAGTGAACTTCACACAGACAGAATAAGGCAATTATATAAGTAGATTTTTATATTTTAAAAACACACAAAGTTTGGAGCGGGATGTTTCAAAAGAGTGAAATCCAGGGCGCCAATTTAAAATTGCAACGAATAGTATTTGAATAAATACAATTAATCGGGTAAAACCTGGGCGTTGCCCGGGTCATTCGGCTAGTAATAGATAAAAAACGCATTGAGCGGAGAATACTTAATATAAAGAATGGAAAAAACAGGTATTTTATTATCTTTCAAATCCACACCGCGACTTATCCCAATTCAATATAAAGTTTTACTATATGTATAATAAATGGAATTGCTTCGAAATATGATTCACCTTTATACAGTACACTTTATATTTACCTGATATTCTTGGTATTTTATAATCAGTATATACTAGCCGAATAACCAGGGCAACGCTCGGGTTTTACCCGAGTGCGTAAATATATTTTAAAAAATTTTATTCAAATACAATTCGTTACAATTATAAATTGGCGCCGTGGATGTCACTCTTGTGAAACGTTCCGCTCCAATCTGTGTGTGTTTTAAAAATATAAAAATAAAATTGTTTATTTTCACAATGATATTTGAAAATGTATTATTTTTATATGAATATATTTTAAATTTGATATATACTTAAAATGATGATAACGAATGATTTCTTGCCCCTATACCGTCATTACGTCAGTCAATGTCACTCTTGTGAAACGTCCTGCTCCACTAATCTCCTTCGCCCATGGGAGAGCCCCACCTGGTCCCTTCTTCCCCAACTTTACTACTCGAAGTTACCGCAGTGAGGCGCTGGTTGCGTGAGAAATAGGGAAAAATTGTTAGGAATTTTTTTTGTTAATAACTTTAATGATATTCGAGATAGAAGCCTGAAAACTTGCCTATAAGTTTTTCTAGATTCACCTCTCTATACTGTTAAATTTCAGCCAGATCAGTAACGTATTGTGGACGTGTATAACCGAAAAACATACATACACTGACTTTTATATATATATGTCATAATTTGTACATAACTGGATGCAAACCCGCCCCAATATGTATGCAATGTATGTTTTAAAAGATTTTAATAAAGACAAGGCTCAAGAAATCTGGGAGAGAAAGGCCATCAAAGAGGAAGCAAACATTAGCAGGTTTTATTATCCAGGAACTCATAAAATTGGGTTCAAGAACCTAGCATTTCCTGGACCATGTCAGAACAAGCTAAGAACAAAGAATTAGCCGAGACCCAATGAGAGTATAGGAACATTAGTTAGGAACCAATGGGAATCGAGCACCCCTGGAAATTCATCCAATGAGAGCCCGGAATAGCTTTCGTCTTAAATCGGGAACGAAGTATAGGCAGGCAGGAGATGGCCGCGGTTGAGACCAGTTTGGAGCCAATCCCATCTCCTCAACCCCTCAGATAAGTCAATCCTCAATCATGTGAACAGTTATAGTCAATAGCCAACTCAGATCAATAGCTTCAACTCCTTTTCTCCCTAGATTGCTAGCCTTTTTCAACTCAACTCTGTGTCCTCGTTATTTTCCCTTGTGAATACCTTACCAACTCAGCCAACACGACTGCGCCCACCACAAACAATCAACTCAGCCAACTTCAAAAGGTAATTCGAACCGATCCCACAGTGAGTCGACAGGATTAAATGGAAAGTGACCAGAATACAGAAGTCAAAAATAGCGGTAACCTATCGAGAGAGGACGAGACGGCAGGGAGTGGGGAAGAAACTGGCCCCCTGGCGGACATCATCGGACAGTTAGCGGCAGCGCTTGCCCAGGCGAGGACGTCCGACCTCCCAGAGGCGGCACTCCCGCCCTTCGATGGATCCTACAGCGCCCGCCAATTCTTCCAGGCCTACGACCGAAAGATGGATGACACCCACGTAGAAAACCCCGATAAACTACTCCGGCTGCCAAACTACCTGACGCGCCAACCCCTGTAACTCTTCAGGAAACTCCGGCTGGCCACCCAGAGCTATTTCCAGGTGAGGCAAATCCTCTTGGATCTTTATCCGGCATCCAGCGAAGCGTCCTTCGCGAAATACTTCGCCATGAAGCTTGCGGGACAAGCAGACCTGGAGACGTATTACCGGGAGAAAACCACCATGGGTTTACAACTGGGACTCCCACAGGAGGTGATCCTCGAGACGCTGACGGAGGGGTTGCCGTTCTCCGACCAGCGCCTGGTCCGCGTGGTACTTCCTAAGAGCCTAGGAGAGTGGTTTGGACTGGCACAGCGGATCCACGGGCCCAACATACCAACGGCACGACACCGCGAGGAACAATCGCCCACCATGTCGGGTCCATACCCCAGCACACCCCGAACAGGTGCATGGACTGCACCTACTCCGCCGTCAAACTGTAAGTTCTGCGGCGCTCGTCATTGGCACAGCGAATGCCGGCATAGGCCCGCCCCAACACAACACGCAAACGCACGGGCAGTGCAAGCGGCCCAAAATCCGCACACGAGTGTACGGGCAGTGCAAGCGGCCCAAAGTCCACACGCGAGTGCACGGGCAGTGCAGGCGGCCCCAACGCAGCAGCACGCCCAGCGTCCCATGCCCCCGCCCCACGCCGAAGACGCCCAAGCAGCGGAGGCCTTTCGGAACTGAGGTAAGGCCTCAACCCTTTACCGTCACCCAGTTGACGGTGAGACTTTTTTTAACCCCTGAACTGCCTTCCCCATTCCTAATTGATACAGGCGCAAGTTTGAATATAGTGCCACATAACCTGTATAAAATGTTAAAAACTAAACTTCCTAATTTAAAATTAAAAGAACAGTCTATAGACCTACAGGCTATAAATGGTCTTGTAACAACAATAGGTAAAATAGTACTCCCTCTGACAATAGGTAAAATTACTAGAAAAGAGAATTTCCATGTGTTGGAAGCACCTCTACCATTTGGAATTCTCAGCATAAATACCCTCCGTAATTTTAAATTAACAATAGACTTCAACCAAAGCACTATATTCCAACTTGGCGCTCCATTGTCTACCCCTACCTACCATTTCAACCATGTTCCCAATGAATGCACGTATTGGGAATGCCAAGCGATGTCACAAAGGACTTGCCCTGCACCCAAACCCTCCGCACATGGCACCCACTGCGTGCATCCATTGGTCAAAACCCGATCACCCACATGCCAATCTAGTCACGCACGACACAACTTTTTCACTAAGGCCAATTGCCTTTTTTATATGCCCTCAAATAACAAGGCCACAACGGCTTCAACTTGCAACAACAATGCACAAAACATGTCCATACAGCAGGACAGCTCATGCACCGAGCACATAAGTGACCACACGTCGTCACACAACGGTCACACGTACAACCCGCGCAACAAACGCGACACTCACACTAAAACACAACAATTTTCTTCCCCATACCCATGCTTGTTGGAAAGTAACGACGCACCCATAGCAACAACGCCAGCTTCCCCCAGACATCACGTGACCTGGCGCCACCTCCGGCCGGCCAATTACCTGTATAATATAGGTTTCAGATTTGCTTGCTTGTTGACTGCCACCGCTTATCTTTTTTAACTCTCTTGTTCCTTTTGTCATCTTAATATAATCTTTTGATAATTAAACGATACTTTCTGAGATCCAACCTCTGTTTTATTCTTACATGGTAGCAGAGCGTGGTTGGTATCAAATATTTTTGTTTATCTAAGCTGAAATTCGTTTGCTTGCTCAAGATGACAACTGAACTTCCACAAATTCAAAAATTCAACGGCGATAATTTTCATCTATGGAAATTTCAAATGAAGATTATTATAGAAGCAAAAGATCTTCTCAGTATAACTGATGGCTCTGAGGTAAAACCTGAAATAGAGGATATTGCAAAATTCTCTAACTGGAAAAAGAAAGATGCAAAATCCAAAATGCTGATCACTACTGCTCTAGAGTTTAAATATCTTCAACAGATTGTTAATTGCCAGACTTCAGCAGAAATGTGGAAGAAATTATCAACAATATATGAACTGAAATCTGAAACAAACAAATATTTGCTGCAACAAAGATTTTTCGAATATAAAATGAATCCAAATGATAACATTGCTACTCATATTTCCAAAGTTGAAACTCTGGCACAACAAATGAACGATCTAGGTGAGCCAATCTCTGATGTTGCCCTAATTACAAAGATAATTTGCAGCTTGCCTGATAAATACAAGAATTTCATAACAGCATGGGATTCAGTTTCATCAGAAGAAAAGACACTAGAAAACTTGACGGCAAGATTACTGAAAGAAGAAAGCTTACAGGATCATTGGGATTCTTCAGGAAATTCTAAACCAGATAATGCCTTGATGACTTTTTCAAAGTTCAACAGAAATTCAACAGCTTCTAACAAACAACAGCAGCATCAACAATCCATTAAAGATAAAAAGAAGAACACACACTGTGGATATTGCAAGAAGAAAGGACATTGGTGGAAAGAATGCTATAAAAGAAAGGAAGAACAAAAAGGACAACAGCCAAGTTCTTCATCCAGAGATGATAGCTGTGCTTTTTCAGCTGAGACAAGTGCCTTCCTCGCTGAAACAAAGGATTCCTGGATTGCAGATTCTGGAGCAACGGATCATATGACTTTCAGAAGAGAATGGTTCTCTACGTTCGAAGAAATACCAGAAGGTGTTCATCCTGTGTGCCTTGGAGTTGGAAAGAAGATCTATGCAAAAGGTAAGGGAAATATTGATATTCTCTCTTATGTTGATAGTCAGAAAATTAATGCAACTCTTTTGGATGTTCTCTATGTACCTGAATTGGAGACTAATCTTTTCTCAATATCTACT